CCCCCCCCCCATTTTTATGAGCAGTGAAGCAGTCGACTCTATGGTAAGTAGCCTAAGCTAGACTAGACTAGGATCTAGAAGTCTAGAATGATCTAGATCTAGATCTAGATTTAGAAATCTTCTAGATATAAAGATACCGTAGGCCTAAGATCACGTGAAGCTATTTGGACTCAAACTCCAATGCTCGTGCGCAATCACTAGATCTAGGTGTACTGGATGTGAAGCAGACAAGCAATTCGACCTTGTCCTTCCTCGATTTCTACGATGGCGGGCCTGGGAAAGTAAGATGGAGAGGGAAAAAGTAAAAGAAAGAGAGAGAGAAAGGGGAGGAGGGGGCTGTCTTATTTAGGACTGATTATGAATTTTATGTTTTGATCCCTTTGTAGTCGTGAAACGCAAGTCCGCAATGTTATAGCCTACCAGTAGTTTAAAAGTCTGAATAGCAACGGGAGACTATTCGGACTCGAGTGTAGATCTAGTAGACTTTGCTTACAGTACAACCGGTGATTGCGCACGCGCACTGGAATTTGAATCCGAATAGCCTCCAACGGCTCACTTCATTTTTTTAATCATCGCTTTCCTGTTTGACTTTGTGCGTCAATTAGTGAAAACAGCTTGATGTTCAGTTCTTTGACCTTGTTGACCAGCAAGAAGTAGGCCTAGAAGTCAGTAAGAAGTGTGTTATCCATATTGAGTATTATTTAGTTTTGCATAATGTCTAGGTCCTTTCTGCTATCCCTATTATTATTTATTATTCTACACATCATTCATTTTGACTAGATCTAGATCTAATTCTCTTCCAGATTCCTTATTCCTGTGGATACACAGACTGAGACAGCCTGACTGAGGTCCAATTTATTCTTATAATCAGTGAAGCAGTCGACTCTACGGTAAGAACATCCACACGTACATATTATACACAGTCGAACCTGGATATTTTGCCAGCCCCACTTACCGCCGGGTTTTGCCAATTTATGACAAGACTATCCTTATTATAAACATAGTATTTGTGGGTGGTTGGCAGGTGCTCTGGTGTGGTTTGCTTCTGAACTTCTTTCCTATCAAACATCTATCATCCTTGATCTCTCCTCCTCCTTTATGATGACCTTATTGTGTTGCAAGTGCCGTAAAACTCTTATTAAAACTAAAAACATAGTATTTAAGCCTTTACACCCCCATCTGCCATCCGCCAACTATCTCATTTATTAAACGATCCATATTAAACTGCTGTAAATTTACCCTGTTGTACCGCCAACAAACTGGCCGCAAAATATTTTCGAAATTTAAAAGGTTTAGTGCAAGTTACGTACAGCACCCTCTATCACCTGAGAGTGAGATGTAATTCTAGACTCAAACTAATTTCTTTTAAAAAAAATCAAACTGCCTAATCTTAAGGCTTACCACGGATGCTGCCCTGAAGCCAAAAGGTCTGTTCAGTTCCGCAAGGCTTTAATTTAATTTTGTGATGTTATGATGTTGATCTGATTATAGTAGCTGAAGGAGAAATAGATGTTGTTTTTGCGCTCTGTTGAAAATAGGGGACTTCCCCCAACTGATTTTCAATCGAGAAAACAAAATGGCCACCCTTACTTTCGATATTTATCTTTGTCGAGATAACAACAAATAACAAAACAACGACAAATATCAACCCAAACTTCCTAATTTAGTTGCTTTTTTTACTTAATTGACTAAGTATTTTTTCCTGTAGAAAGTGAAATGTAAATGTATGATTTATATCTCTTTAACAGGTGAATCTGTGTCACCCATACTTTGTAACTTTGTTCCACAATTTGTATCAATTTTATTTTTAACTTAATATTTATATTTTTCCTCAACATTTGAGGCAAGATTTTTAAAAACTTTGCTTCATAAATTTATATAAAATACTATAAATCTAAACCTGTGCCACTTGGAACATCACAGCTTTCCAATGGCAAAACTTTTTATAAGAAATTAATTTTATAGTGAACACATTTTTTGCAGAACAAGTGCAGCAGAATAAGCATATAATGTCACGATTAGAAAAAGATGACAGACTAGCTTTTAAAAGCAATATTGCCCCAGCTATAAACCTTTTAGAATCTGTAAAAACCACCCACTTGATATTTCAATTAGTATATGTGAGGCAGCGTTGTGGAATCAGGCTCTCGTCAAAATAATCAAAGTGAAGAAACTTGCATTTTTTCGCAGGTTTGTGAATTTTTAAAAATTTTTGTTTTTTGGCTCAACACCTTTCATGCCCGTTAAAGAACTCATTTCTGAGTGGATTTTTCTGAAAAGCGTTGATTAAAAGCACAAAGAATGTAAATTTTCAGTTACCACGGACTCTTTAGCTAAGGAAATAACTAATCTTTGGCGGCCATTTTCTCTCTAATTTTACTTCTGAAAACAGGTGACCCCCACCTCCTTCTTTCGCTAATATCTCGACTTGTATTCAAGATAAATGGATATTTTTTTCATCCAAATAAAGACAAGTGAACAAGCTTTTAAGATGACACCAATAACTCTACATGCCCAAAAATTGATGAGAGCCTGATTCCACCACGCTGCCTCACATATATTATTTTAGGAATTTTCTAGAATACAAGTAACAGGTGTGTGTACAAAAATATTGATCTGTTAAGAAAAACTATTGATACAAGTCATTGTGCAAAAGTTGGAGAGTCTATGTTTGGTATTAAGGTAAATTTGACAATAAGTTGCACTACGAATGTTTGGCCGTACTATAATAGTACGAGCATTTAATGTTCACATATATTATATACTTACATACCCAGTAATGTATTTCTTCCCAACAGTTTTGACTGAATTTCTTTTCCTGATTTACATTACAGGGTGGATTTTGACAAGATAGACGGGACAAGCATTGGTGGGGATGCTGCCTCTTCGGACACTGCAACACACAAAATGACTACTGGAGTGCAATTTGGAAACCAATTGGTAAGTTCTCTCGTAGTACTTGTGGGTAATTGGATAGAGTTTAGATATTATTTTCCAACCCACTATGTCATTCAATTTTTGCTGTAAATTAGCTTTTTTTTTTTAGCATTTCAAAATATTTGATTTCACCCTATCATGCAAATAATTGTAGATCTCAAAGCGTATTTACAGAGAAGAGGAAGCTGGGATTGACTTTCAAATCTTTATCAGTGGTTTCTAAGACTGAAAAAAAATGTTGGTGTTTTTTACTCACAGCATGTTAGGGAATGAGATACAATCTGTGCTAGATTTCCAGTGTACAGTTTTAGAATATATTGGTATAAAAGTAATTCTTCACATTAATCACGTCATTGTCATTATTTCACAACTTATTTTTACTCAGAACTTTTAGCCCTAAGATGCTTGATAAAGGTTACAGTTGCAGAAAAATTAGTTTTAAATATTTCTATCTAGAAATTGTAATACCCCTCATTGTTTCAGAATTAAAATTTAAATGTTCCGTATCATGTGATTTTGATCCACAGAAGCAAAAACTTACAATGGCCAGTGTGCTTCAGAATTTATTTTAACTTTTTTGTTTATGAATTTAATCCACAGATGCAGAAATGTACAGTGGTCTGTGTGCCACAATGATTCATCTTGGAAAAGGGAGGAAGCCAGACCCTCTGGATGTTC